CGAGCATTCAAAGAACTAACACCCATTATCCTCAAAATATTCCAAAAGATTCAAAAAGAAGGAAGACTTCCATACTCATTTTATGAGGCCAGCATAATTCTAATTCCAAAACCAGAAAAAGACACTACAAAGAAATAAAACTACAGGCCAATACCCCTGATGGACACAAATGCTAAAATCTTGAACAAAATACTAGCAAATCAGATCCAGCAATACATCAAAAAAATTATTCACCATGACCAAGTGGGATTCATCCCAGGGATGCAAAGCTGGTACAATATTCACAAATCAATAAATGTGATACACCACATAAACAAAATGAAAGATAAAAACCATATGACCATATTAATAAACGCTGAAAAACCTTCGACAAAATCCAGCACCCATTTCTGATAAAAATGCTCAGCAATTTGGGAATAGAGGGATCTTATTTTGACATAATAAAGGACATATATGAAAGACCTACAGCCAACATCATACTAAATGGACAAAAACTAAAAGTATTTCCCTTAAGAACAGGAAGAAGACAAGGATGCCCACTTTTGCCACTCTTATTTAACATAGTACTGGAGATCTTAGCCACAGCAATCAGACATGAAGAAAACATAAAAGGGATCCAAATTGGAAAGAAAGAAGTGAAACTGTCATTATTTGCAGATGACATGATATTATACATAGAAAACCCTAAGGACTCCATCAAAAATCTACTAGACTTAATAAATGAATTTGGCAAAGTAGCAGGTTACAAAATTAACGTCAAGAAATCGACGGCATTCTTATACGCCAATGATGAACTCACAGAAAGAGAAAATACAAAAACATTTCCATATACCATCATGGCAAAAAAATTAAGATACCTAGGAGTAAACTTAACCAAAGAAGTAAAGAACCTATTTGCAGAAGACTACAAGACATTGAAAAAGAAATAAAGGAAGATATAAAAAAGTGAAAGCATATACCTTGTTCATGGATTGGAAGAATTAACATCATTAAAATGTCGGTACTAGCCAAAGCCTTCTATACAATACAATACATTCCCCATCAAAATACCAATGACATACTTCACAGAACTAGAACAAAAACTTCAAAAGTTCATATGGAACCAAAAAAAATCCCCAAATAGGCACAGCAATCTGAAAAATAAGAACAAAGTAGGTTGGGATCAAAATACCAAATATCAGGTTATACTACAAAGCAACTGTAATCAAAACAGCCTGGTACTGGCACAGGAACAAGCACACAGATCAGTGGAACACAACAAAGAACCCAGAAATGGACCCAAAAGATTATGCTCAATTAATGTTCGACAAAGGTGGCAAGAGCATACTATGGAATAAAGACAGCTTCTTTAATAAACGTTGTTGGGAAAATTAGACAGCTACATGCAAAAAAATGAAACTAGACCATCAACTTATACCATACACAAGAATCAACTCAAAATGGATAAAAGACTTAAATGTGACTTGTGAATCCATAAAATTCCTAGAAGAAAATGGTAGACAACAAAATTTCGGACATCATACGCAGCAGAATTTTCACTGATACATTACCTAAGGCAACACAAACAAAGGGAAAAATGAACACATGGGACTACATCAAACTCAAAAGCTTCTACACAGCAAAAGAAATAACCATCAAAATGGAAAGGCAACCCACTTTATGGGAGAGCATAATTGCCAATGATATATGAGATAAGGGGTTAATTTCCAAAATATATAGAGTGCTCATACAACTCAACAAAGGAAGACAGAGAATCTGATTGAAAAATGAGCAGAACTAGAGACACTGCTCCAAACAGGACATACAAATGGATAAAAAACATATGAAGAAATGCTCAACATCACTAATCATCAGAGAGATGCAAATTAAAACAACAATGAGGTATCACCTCACACCTGTCAGAATGGCCGCCATCAACAAATCATCAAACGACAAGTGTTGGCAAAGGTGTGGAGAAAAGGGGACTCTAGTACACTGCTGGTGGGAATGCAGACTGGTGCAGCCACTATGGAAAACAATATGGTGTTACCTCAAAAAAATTAAAATTGAATTGCCATTTAACCCAGTGATCCCACTTCTAGGAATATACCCTAAGAAGCCTGAAACACCAATCAGAAAGAATATATGTACCCCCATGTTCATAGCAACACTATCTACAATATCTAAGATCTGGAAACAGCCCAAATGTCCATCAGTAGACGAATGGATAAAAAAGCAGTAGTACTTATACACAATGGAGTACTATGCAGCTGTAAGAAAGAAAGATCTCTTATCCTTTAGGACAACATGGAGGGACCTGGTGAGTATTATCCTAAGGGAAACAAGCCAAGCAGAGAAAGACAAATATCACATGATCTCACTTATGTGTGGAATGTAATGAACATAACAGTCTGAGGAACAGGGTAGACCCAGAGATGTGGAAGTGGGGTACAGAATGACAACCCTCAGAAGAAGGGGAGGGGGGAGGGAAGAGATAAACCACAGAACTTATATGCATGTACGCATAACCGATGGACATGGACAACAAAGCTGGGGATGGGGGGGTGTGGGGAGGACGGTGTCAATGGGGCAGAAAGGAGAAACATCTGTAACAAAAATAAATTAATTTAAAAAAAGACAAAAAAAATCAATTATTTTTATGCACTTTAAATGGACACTCTAATAAAAAATTTTAAATGCATTTACAATAAAAAAAATACAATACTTAGGAATAAATTTAGCAAAAGAATTATAAAATAAATACTTAGAAAACTACAAAACATAGAATAAAATGTATTAATGTATAAATGAATGGGAAAATTCATCTCAATTCCATGGTCCAGAAGACTTAACATTGTTGAAATGGCATTTTCCCCAAAATGATGTAGAGATTTAGCACAATACTGTCGTGATCCCAACTGATTTCTTTATAGAAACTGGCAGGCTGTTTCATAAAATCGCATGGAGTTGCAAGGAAGCCATATAGCCAAAGCAATCTTGAAAATGAAAACTCAAGTGATAGGAGTAACGCTTCTTCATTTCTAAACCTTGTAATATGCATGGTAATCAAGATAGTGTGGTACTGACACAAGAATAGACATACAGACCTATGACATGAATTTAGTTATGAGAAATAAGGCCATGCCCTGGCCAGTTTTGCTCAGCGGTTAGAGCATCGGCCCATGGACCAGAGAGTCCCGGGTTTGGTTGCTGCTAATGGCATGTCCCTCAGTTGCAGTTTGTCCCCAGCCCTGACTGGGATCATGTGGGTGGCAACCAGTCAACGTGTCTCTCTTACATTGATGTTTCTCTTTCTCTCTTCCTCCTCCTTCTCCTCCCACTCTAACTGAAAATAAATGCAAAAATGTCCTCAGGTAAGGATGAAGAAAAAAAGAAGAAATAAGGCCATATATGTAAGGTGAACTAGTTTTCTAAAAAGATGCCAATTTGTTCTTTTCACAAATTTGTACTGGGCCAACTACACAGCCATATGCAAAAGAAATTGGTTTTATCCTTGCAAGACACTCATACAATAATTTACCAGCAAGAATTAAAAACTAAAGAATAAACTATCACCCACTTTGATAAAACATAGGAAAAATATACCAACCTTGAATTTGACAAAGGTAAGACACCAGGAGCAAAAATTGGGCATGGGGGGAATAATTTGTACTTCATCAAATTAATGACTTTTATGGTTCAAAGGACACCATCAAGAACGTGGAAACACTCTTTGGAACCCTGTGTACTGCTGCTGGGAATATAATACTCTGTTCACAGTATAAAAAACAGCATGGTAGCCTGGCTGGTGTGGCTCAGTGGTTGGGTGTCAACCCATGCACCAAGAGGTTGCTGGTTCAATTCCCAGTAAGGGCACATGCCCAGGTTGTGGGCCCAACCCCCAGTGGGGGGCTTACAGGAGGCGGCCAATTGATGTTTCTCTCTTATTGATGTTTCTATCTCTCTTTCCCTCTCCCTTCCTCTCTCTCTAAAATCAATAAAGAAAAAATATAAAATAATATTAAACAGAAAAAAACCAACATGGTAATTAGTCAAAAACTTACAAACCGGGTTACCATCTGATGAGCAATTCTATTTCTTAAACTAGAAGTAGAATCAAAGCAGAGACTTAAACAGATACATGTTCACTCATGTTCATATTAGCATTATTCACAATAGCCAAAAGGTAGAAATAACTAAGCACTCACCAACAGTTGAATGTGTCAAAAAAAAAAAAAATGGTACATACATTAGGAGTATTCAGCTTTTTAAAAAGAAAGCAAATCTGACATGCTGCAACACAAATGATCCTTAAGGACATTATGCTAAGTGAATTCAGCCAGTCACAAAAGATCAAACACTATATGATTACACATGTATGAGGTACCTTTGCGAGTAGTCAATTCCCAGAGACAAAAGTAGAATGCTTGTGGCCAGGGGCCTCAGTAGAGGAAGAATGAGGATTTGTCCGATAAGTAGAGTTTCACTTTTGCAAGATAAAAATAGTTCTGGAGATTGTTTTCACAATGTCAATGTATTTTATACTCCTGAGTATACACCTAAAAATGGTGCAAGTGTACATTTTATTCTGTGTATATTACCACAATTAAAGTAAAATTTTAGGGCAATAGAATAAAAACAGAATCCATAGATTGGAATAAAATTTTGCAAATCATATATCTGATAAAGAACTTTTATCTAACCCGGCCATTGTGGCTTAGTGGTTGAGTATCAACCCATGTACCAAGAGGCTGCTGGTTCGATTCCTGGTCAGGGTACTTGCCCAGGTTGTGGGCCCGATCTCCAGTGGGGGGCATGAAGGAGGCAGCTGATCAATGTTCTCTATCATCGATGTTTCTGTCTCTCTCTCTCTCCCTCTCTCTCTCCCCCTTCCTCTCTCTCTCTAAAATCAAAAAAGAAAAAATGTTTTAAGCAAATAGTATATACATTTTAGGAAAATAACTTTTATCTAAAATATCTAAAGATCTCTTACAACTTAATTCTAAAAAATCAAATAAGTCATACTTACCTGACAGGGAGATACCATGATCATGAAGGTGGTTTTCCCAGGGTGAGGTTTATCCATTGTATTGTGGATGTGCTGACCCCTGTGATTTTCCTAAATGTGGGAAACTCAACTGCATAATTTGTGGTAGCGGGGGACTGTGTTCATGCTCTCCCCTGGGGGGAAAAAAAAGTAAATAAGTCAATTTAAATATAGCAAAGTATCTGCATATACATTTTCCCAAGGAAGATATACAAATGGCCAAGAGCATATGAAAAATGCTAGATATCATTAGTCATCAAGGAAATACAAATCAAAACACCAGTGAGACACCACTCTACAACACCTAGAATGGATGGAGGTCATGTTAAGGGCGGTGCAAATATAAAATGGTGCAGCCACTCTGGAAAAGGAGTCTGGGAGTTCCTCAAAAATTAAACCTAGATTTACCATGTAATCCATCAATTCTTCTAGGTATATATGCCCATGAAAAATGAAAACACATATCTGAACAAAAATTTATACATGCATTATATAGCAACATTAGTCTTAGTAGCCAAAAGTGGAAACAATCCAAATGTCCATTAATGGGTAAATAAATAAACACAACACGTTTTATTCATTCAGTGAAATATTATTCAGTCATAATAATGAATGAGATATTGCTAAGTGCTACAACAGGCTGGGCCTTGAAAAAATTACTAAGTGACTGAAATCAATCATAAAGACCATATTTAATTTCATTCATATGAAAAACCCACAAGGGAAATCTATAGAGACGAAAGTAGACCAGTGGTTATTTAAAGCTAGGGATTGGAGGAGGAAGATGGGAAGATTGGGAGTGATAGCTAACCAGCAGAGCAGTGTCTCTTTCAGGTGACAACAATGTTTAAACACTGACTACGGGTCCAGCTGGTGTGGCTCAATGGCTTGAGTGTGGTCCCATGGACTCAGAAGTCCCAGTTCCATTCCCAGTCAGGGCACATGCCCAGGTTGTGGGCTGGGTCCCCAGTAGGGGGCATACGGGAGGCAGCCGATGGATGTTTCTCTCCACAGTGATGTTTCTTTCTCTCCCTTCTCTCTCTCTAAAATATCAATAAAAACATATTTAAACAATTGATTGTAGTATATATGGGTTTGGTGTTATGGCAGGCCTGTCTCCCTGGGTCTCTCATAGTGCCTGATGCTGACAGGGGGAAGGGCATGTAATAACAATAGAGCCACAGTTATTTAATAATTTTCATCTTACTAACTATAGAGAAGAGGTTTTCTTACAGACCCTGGGAAGCTGGAGGATGAAACAAAGCTGTGAAAAGACAAGATGCCTCAGAGCCCAGATGGGTCCATTGCTCAGAAAGGAAGCACATTTTGAGAACAGACCAAGGACAGGACACACTTTGATTTGGTTGCTGTGCCAGGACCCTGACCCGCCCCACTCTGGGAGTTTGCCTCAGAAATGCTGACCATTCTTCAGTCCTAGGAATAAGCTGAGCTATTTGTAACATCATAGAAGATTAGCCACCTTGTTATCGGACTTGAAGATCCTGGAAGGAGACACACAGACCACGGACCCTGTCCCTTCTACCCTTGCAAGCAGCCCTTTCTTACTTACCCTATATAATCAGCCAACTAATAGGAGGAGTCAGAGCAGAATTTCCAGGATGACCTACTCGTCTCCCCATACTGCTGGCATTATTGGAATAAATGCTCATATATGATTCAACCCTATCTCTGCTTAATTTGGCTCAAGTAGTGACAGGTGGCCTCAGACCCATGTAGTGTTTGGTATCAACGCCAGAGCAAACTGTGGCATTGAACCATTGCCCAGCCTCTGCCCATAGGCTGTAGGCACTGAAGCCAGTCACACAGTGGGAAAACAAATAACAATAGCAATAAAATAAATAAGATAAAAATTAATCGCTTCTCGGCCTTTTGGCTACGATCAATTGTAATTTCTTTTCTTATCAGTTTAATATCTGATACATCCTCTATCTGGGACAATATATTAAATGGATATTTGGATCAGGAAAATGGAATAGGAGCTTGCTCTGTCCACTCCACGCATCAACCCGGTATTGCAGTACCTCTGGGAATGGTGCAAAAAAAATAAAAATTGACTGTGGTAATGATGTTACATATCTACAAATATACTAAGAACCGCAGAACCTGTATGCTTTAATGCACTTTACAGCATGTGTATTATACCTCAATAAAGCTGTTTAAATAAGTAAATAATGTCATAAAAGTTTTGCAGTGTAAAAGAGTTTTGCAATCCAGGTTCTAAGGAATATAAGATTTTCCAGGTTAATTAACACATTTATCACCTCATAATGTTATCGTGTAGTGAGAATGCTTAAGATCCACTATCTAGACAACCACATCAAAGTTACAACTAAACTACAGAACAACCATCCTTTTACTCTAACATTTCAAAGGTATGCTAACCTAGATGCACGAGAACAATGGAAAGGGCTCTCTTAGGGCAAAGACTAACTTTTTACCATAGAAGTTTAAGCCTGAGGTTATATTCATTGTGAAAAACACTGGATCATTTCTATCCCACAAACAATCATGATCCAAGTTTTTGCTGCCTGTTTCACTTTTCTGTATTTTGCATCTAGTATAATATTTACATAAGCTGTGGAAACTATTGAAAGTAATTTTATACATATTCAACAATCATTAACAGTTGGGCTATGCAGGAAAACCCAAAATATAAGTATTAGTATTATTATGACTAATATAATTAGCACACAGATAAAGAAAATCAAAACTAATGGTTTCTGAGTTCAATATCTGGTATACAGGCCTTGTCAGTGTCTTGGGATAGCTGTCTGTCTCTGACGTCAGTGGCTTCTTATCCTTGAGGAGTCTTTAGTGTCTATTGCAAGTTAAAGTGAGTTCCAGAGACAGGGGTAGATGGGCATTCGCAGTTAGGTACCTGATAATGTCCCTTCCAACAAGGTTAGAGAGAGTGTCTTTTATTTGATGTCCTTATTAATAAAAATCTGCAGGTGGTGGTCCATGCTTTTTAAATTCTTCATCTCCTGGGAGTTGCTGAGAAAGGAAAGGGTACCAGAGTTCCAAAGCAACTCGTACTGAGCAGAAGCCTGAAGCATTTGAAGGTTCCATTGTTCTTCCTGGGGTGCTGCCCCCTTCTGGTGTTTTACCTGCTCACACCCACCTTGAAAGGAGCCTTTACACTGAGAGAAACTAGAGCTCTGGAAAGCGGGGAGTTCATGTGGGGGAGTAGAGGTTACATGCTTTCTGAGGTTGTGCTTGTGATGTTTTAGGTCTCATATCTGAGTTTTGCACCCACAGTTCAGCTTCACTCAGAGGGTCGTTTTGGTACATTGAGAAGTCCGTGAGGATCAGTTGTTCTGTATCATGAACAAAAGATTTGTGGATTAGGTGTTCATTTGAGATAAAACATTAATGAGGCTGATAGGTTCCTCACTTGTGAGAATGGAAGCCTGGGGGAGGGAGCACTTCCATGCCTACAAGGTGTCCCAGAGTTCATTCCTGGGGCTGCTCAGGTGTCCCTTAGTAAGCAGGAAAACTCTGAACCAATAACTGATAAATTACAATTAAATTGTCTTCACCACTTCCTCATTAGGCTTTCCAGTGTGAGACTCCATGGTCCCTAATCCTAGTCAAATTACTGAGTACAGCTCAGCCAGTGTGGCTCAGTGGATCGAACGTCATCCTATGGACTAAGAGGTCCCAGTTTGATTCCTGGTCAGGGCACATGCCCAGGTTGTGGGCTTGGTCCCCAATGTGGGGGTGTGCAGGAGGCAGCCAATTGATGTTTCTTTCTCTCTCACATCGATGTTTCTATCTCTCTCTCTAAAATATCAATGAAAACATATTTCAAAAAACATTACTTAAATGGTCTAGTGTAAATTAAAGAGGACCCTCAAAAATTGAAAACTTACAAGAACCCATCTAGGTAGAAGTGATTATCCCTATGGCTTCTCTTTTGAACAGCTGAATTTGTCCCATTTTAAACCTGCAGAGAATGAATAACATTTCACACTGGGTTACCACAACTTGGGGCTGTGGACACACCAAATATAACCCTACACCCAGCTCCCAGCACTATGGAAATTGCTATTTTATCCACACAGCAACCGGTACACGTTCTGCTGTCACAACTTTGGATAGGCCTGTTTTGTTCAATGCCTATGTCAAGAGTATTTTAGCTGCAGTTAACTTTCACCTCTGAAGGGACATGATGCACCTTTACCTGGTTACTCTCAGGAAACCTCAACACTATTACCACCGCACACAGTTTCTGCAGATAGGAGCTGGACTGCGTTTACCGTGCTCTGGAATAACAAGTATGACATGGTAATGATGGCATTCTGTTTTGTGAACATTTGTTTGACATTCAGGACATAGATGTATTGAAAAAAGAGACTGACAAGCCCTGGCCAGTTTGGCTCAGTGGTTAGAGTGTCAGCCCACAGACCAATGAGTCTCGGGTTCGATTCCAGTCAAGGGCATGTACCTCGGTTATGTTTCGTCCCTGGCCCTGGTCGGGGTCTTGCGGGAGGCAACCAGTCAATGTGTCCCTCTCACGTGAATGTTTCTCTCTCTCTCCCTCTCTCCCCCTACCTCCTACTTTATCTGAAGATGAACAGAAAAATATCCTTGGGTGAGGATTAAAAAAAAAAACAGGCTGACAAAACATGGATTAGCCCCAGGATTATGGGCCCTGATTCCTTGAATATATTTTAAAAAGTTATTTAATAAACTGAAGACCACTTCCTTTCAGACACCATGAAGAAATAGCTAGAAATTCCTCCCAGCACCCACAACATTTTCTAGATTATTTTGGAGTTTGAGAAACAACATATTCATTCCTGGTTTAAAATTTTTATTAGAGCCCATTCATGCTGTTACTGGCAAATTGGCCAATATTGAATAAGTACTCCAATGTTTGAAAGTTCTAGACTCTTTAAATTGCCACACAACAGGCACACACAGTGGTGTCCTCTGAAACGCCTTCATCATAGAGGCTGCAGAGACCACCTCTCATAAATCCTGGAATTACCCATGGTGACCTTATATTGTAATTTCTGTGTTCATCTAAGTTATGTTGAGTAGGTGTTTATCAATTTTATTAATCTTGACAACCAGTTTTTTTCTGGTTTACACTTTCTTCATTGATTAGTTTCAGGTGTACAGCATAGTGGTCAGACTTTTATAGAATTTATGAAGTAATTTGCATAATAAATCTAGTATCAATCTAGAACTGTACATAGATATTACAATATTATTGATTATATTCCCTATGCTGTACTTTACATCCCATGACTATATTGTAATTCACAATTTGTACTTCATAGTTCCTTCAACTTTTTCACCGAGGCCCCCGAGCCCCTGTCAGTTTGTTCTCTGTATCTATAATCTATTTCTGCTCTATTTGTTTGTTTCTATTGTTACTTAGATTACACATATACATGAAATCATATGGTATTTATCTTTTTCTGTCTGACTTATGTCACTTAGCATAATACCCTCTAGTTTCACTCATGTTTCTGCAAATGGTGAAATTTCACTTTTATGACCAAGTAATAGTTTATTGTTTATACCACCTTTTCTTTACCCAATTGTATATTAATGGGCACTTAGGTTGATATCTCAGCTATTGCCGATTATGCTGCAATAATCATAGGGATGAATATATCCTTTTGAAGTAGCGTTTTTGATTCTTTGGGTAAATACCCAAAAGTAGAATTGCTGGGTCATAAGTTAGTTTTATTTTTAATTTTTTAAGGAAACTCAGTACTGTTTTTTTGTTTTTGTTTTTGTTTGTTTGTTTGTTTCATTTTTTGTTCAGATAGAGTGGGGGGGGAGAGAAACATCGACGTGAAAGGGACACGTTGAGTGGCTGCCACCCCCATGACCCAACCAGGGCCGGGGACAAACTGCAACAGAGATATGTGCCCTTAGTGGGAACCGAACCCAGGTCTCTCTGGACCGCAAGCCGACGCTCTAACCACTGAGCAAAACCGGCCAGGGCTGTTTTTGTTTTTTTTAATCCTCACCAGAGAATATGTTTTTATTGATTTTAGGGAGCGAGAGAGAGAGAGAGAGAAAGAGAGAGAGAGAAATATTGATGTGAGAGAGAAACATCAACCAGTTGCCTCCCATACGCACCCTAATGGGGTATCAAACCAGCAACATAGGTGTGTGCACTGACTGGGAATCAAATCCACAAACTTTTAGTGTGCAGGACGCTAAACAAAGTAAGCCACTCAGCTGAGGCAACTTCTGCCCATTTTGAAGTTGTGCTGTTTGTTTTTGTTGCTGTTAGGTTGTTTGAGGTTTTTATGAATTTTGAATATTAACCCCTTATCAGATGTATCATTGCTGAATATTTTTCCCAGTAAGTAGATTGTGTTTACACTTTGTTGATGGTTTCATTTGCATTGGAAATGTAGTTTGATGTAGTCCCATTTTATTATTTTTTCATTTGTTTCACTTTCCTGAGGAGATATACCAGAAAAAAATTTTAATAAAAACAATATCAGAGACTTTAGTGCCTATGTTCTCTTCTAGGAGTTTTGTGGTTTCAGGTCTTACATTTAAGTTTTTAATCCCTTTTGAGTTTATTCTGTACATTGTGTAAGTATATGGTCTAGTTTAATATTTTTGTATGTATCTGTCCAGTTATTCCAACACCATTTATTAAACAAACTGTTTTTACCCTATTGTATATTCTTGCCTTTCTTGTCATAGATTAATTGACCATATAGTCAATTAGTCTATGGGTTCTCCGTTCTGTTCCATTTATCTACGTGTCTGTCTTAATGCCATTTTGATAAATATAGCCTTGTAGTATAGTTTGGTATTGGATATCTTGATAGCTCCTACTTTTATCCCTAGATTGCTATGGCTATTCAGTCTTTAATTATATAAATTTTAGAATCATTTGTTCTAGTTTTATGAAAATGCCATTAATATTTTGCTAGGCATTGCATTAAATCTCTAGATTGTTTTGTGTAGTATGGACATTTTAATTATGGTAATTCTTTCTATCCCTCAGCATGGTATATGCTTTTATTTATTTGTATCTTCTTTAATTTATTTACTAGCTT